TTGGTATATCGGACAACGTTCTGTTGCCCAAAATGTCTGTGGTTGTCCGGTATTTGCTCTATTGGACAACGTTTTATTGTCCAAAATGTCTGTGGTTGTCCGATATTTGGTCTACTAGATAGTGTTATGTTGCCCAAAATGTATGTGGTTGTCCGATATTTGCTCTACCAGACAACATTCTATGTCTGTGGCCCAAAATGCTTGTGGCTGTCCGGTATTTGCTCTACCAGACAATGTTCTGTTGTCCAAAATTCCTGTGGTTGTTTGGTATTTGCTCTACTGGATAGCCACAGGTTCAAAGTTTAGATCCAAATATCCACACCATCGAAAGAGACCATCCAAATACAAACACCATCCAGATTTACATGATTCTTTCTCAAAACATACACGATCAAAATGGTCATCAATCAAAAGTTGAGAAGCAGAAGTTAGAAAGATGATCTAGAGGCACTAGCTCCATTGAAGGTCGGAGGCAATGGAGTATTTATGGGTTCTCTACAACTCCTCATGTTGTGGCCTACCTCACCACAACATTTGCATGCATCACCCCCAGTGGATTTTTCTTTTGTCAGCCTGCGCCTCTCCTTTGACCTTCCTAGGTATAACTTGGTAATTGGGGGGATATATAGTTCTATTAAAAGCTCCAGTCAGAGGCATCGAGTTTGGTACAGGACGGAATTCAGTTGCATAGGTGGACCTGTATGCTTGAACTCTGAAATACGGCTTACAAAAGTGGATTGAATGGAGGTGACAATCATCCATAATTCAAATTGCATGGGTACACGGTAACCCGTTGTTCCTCCACACTCTACAAGCACAGGTTCGAGCATCAAGATCTACAACATGGGCCATCTCCTCATGGATCTCATATTTTCTATCTACGACCCATATAACATTATGCCCGAACTTGACTTCGTAATCCGTCGTTCATTAAGAACTTTTTGTGCTTTAGGCACAAGTTCACTATCCCACCGCTCATCTTCCTGCCGACGTTCTGCCCATCTTTTCACTAACTTTATTCTTAAGTTTTCTCACAAAGGGATGAGAGGGATCTCATGTTCCTTTAAAATCCAATTGTTAAATGACGCAGATATGTTAGATGTAAGATTATTGTACCTCTTGCCGTATAATAAGCATTCGCCCAGTATTCTTTACCATGAGTCATTATCCAAATGTAAATCGCTTCATCTATCTCTTTAATTTTTAATATCTCTTCCTCGAACCTTTCAATAGATAATGGGCGTGCAGCCACCACTTCTTTAGGAGTACTTTGCTCTTCCATTTCCTCTTGAAATTGTCTACAAGATGGTGCATGCCATGACCTGGATATGATCTCGGGAATGCCGTCCTAATTGCAGTTTGCAATCCCTTCTGACGGTCATAGAGAATTGTTAGACGTAGTAAGTTTATTACTTCCTGAAGAAACGCCCAATTCAATCTCTCTAAGAACCATATCCAATTTTCAATGTGCTCATTCTCTACCATTGCAATCGCAACACAAATGTGCCACCATGATCATCTATGGCTATTGTAGCCAATAGGATCTTCAGATATGTTCCCTTCAAGAATGTCTCATCTAACCGTAACAATGGCCTACAACCATGAAGAAATCCATTAAGGCATGGACAAAAGGTAAGAAATAGATGATCAAATATCCTATCCTCATCGGTTTGTACGACTGATATAGTTCCAGAGTTAGCGACATTTAGTTTCTCAAGATAGAGAGGTAGTTCAATATATGACTGCACTTCTGAGCCTAGGATCATTGCCCTTGCAACTTCTTTGCCATGCCAAGCTTGCATGTATGATAATTGGACCCCATCCTGTTGAACGTCATTTGCAATATCTTTAGGTTTGAGTGTCATCTGGTCGTTTAGTCGATGTTTAATCTTTTTTGCAACCCATTGGCTTCTTGCAAATGACTAATGCGCCCAGTCTATTGGTCCTCTGCACGTGTGCTCATTTATAAATTATCTCACCTTGAAGAATTTCAACTATATGACTCTAGAGCACCACACGTGTCAACTGCAATCCAGTGCTCCTTTACAATATCCATGCATTTTTTCTTGATCATTTTCTATGGTACTTCATTACAAAATTATGATATATTGCGTAATCAACTAAGTGATTGCGTCAATCCACAACAGTCTCGAAATCCAATCTCCCAACTAGGTTAACTCGTGGACGTGTTGATATGAATAGGGTGATTTAAGGGCGATTTAAGGGCGTCATGTTGTCTACATCACGTTCCATCACATGCTCACCCTCGGGTTCTGACCCCAGCACTGCCGCTGTGTTACTCGTTGTAGCGACATTCACTTGTACAAAAGGGTAGATGTGACAAAAAATTTCAAGTATTTAGTAGGTATCTATCCACATGTAGTTCAAATATAATGCGATTTCATTGAAATATAAATATTGAAGGTCTTTCGTCACACATACCTATCTCTTGTTGATGGAGCAGATGTATGAACAAAGGGTTGTTGCTCCACTAGATTTGGTTGCGATGGCTAGTTTGCAATATATAGGAATATATTGGAGGCCACAATCAGCATACACGATACATCCCCATGATCTATTAAATCAACTAAGTGCTCTTTTTCTTCATACATAAGTTTCAAACTGTTTGGGTCAGAGCTCAATATAGACCCGATATGAGTCTTTAATTACTGTAGTGAGTCGCCCCCCTTATATACTGTAGCTTTTAAGTTACCATCTACATAAATTGTCCGTCAGTCATACTTGTTACGTTCAAAATAAGCACCATGGTGAACCAATAATCTAACTCCACCAGTGGCCATGAATGAATCTGGTAAGTAGAATTAATATTATAAGGTCCACATAATTGGTATAGATTTCTTACTTCATAAGCTCCAGCAAAACCAAAAAATATAATCAGCAAAAATAAAATAGATCTAGCATAATCATAAAACAAAAATTTGTACATCATATGCTATAACATAAGTGAGATCGAATGGAAATTAACTAAAATCTAGATTTGGGGTTTTTTCCTACAAGATTGCATAACCTTAATCTTCCAGATAAAGTAAAAAACCCTTCAGTATTGGGTTGTTTTTTTATGACCAACACTGCACCGATGCATGAGCATAAAATATTTTTTATTAATAAAGTAAAATAATATGCCATGACTGAAGCTATGCCACTACATTCAATCAATAAAAATCCAGTAAACCCTAAGATTGAGTTCATTATTTGATAAAATAATATATTTAAAATAAGGGAACCCAGCTCTATATTTAAGGCATTCTTGATCCTTTTTTATTTTTATCAATCAATAAACAATAAACATTCATTATCGATTCAATTGAATATTCAACAAGACCTAATAATGCATATTTTCAATCACAATCAAATAGGAAAATGGACATTCATAACTGAACCAAAAACCCTAATCCACCATTTACAAATTTTGGGGTTATTTTATCCCCAAAACCCTAATCCCCTAAATCTCATTTACCAAAAAAAAAAACAGTTTCCTGAAACATACCTGATCCGGTTGTGGTTTGAGAAGCTTGCTTGAATGTCCCATAGAGGGCTTGGATTCAGAAAACACAGATTGAGATAAGTGCTTGACTTGGGCTTGGGCATAACTACAGAGCAAGCTTCACTACAGAACAAATAGAGCAGAGTGAAATGGGGGCTCTTTTCGCTTAAAAAGACCCAATAACTGTCTGGTATATTGAATACCGAACATAGGTTTTAATTTTGTAAGTTAAAACGATTATGTCCAGTATTTATAAAACCAGACATCAAACTTTAAAATTTTTGAAAAACTTAAAGACCTGTCTGGTGTTTTGAACATTGGACATGTTCTTTCCATTTAAATGCACAAAAATACATGTCCAATGTTCGGTTTACCAGATAGGGGGTAAACTGGAAAGAAACAAAAGCTGGAGGGGGTGCTCCTCGTAATTTGAAAACACTATGTTCCCATGCTGGGATGTCCCCAACATTGCCCGTACGTAATTTTCTTTATTATTTTTCATAATATTTCTATGAATACCATATATTAATAACCTTAACCTTTTATATGCACCCAGTGTTGAAAAAACCAGTCAATGTAATGCTAACTTACCAGCTGCCAGTTCCGGTTTTGGTGGTATTTTAAACTTTAGATAGAATACTACTTCAAATATATATTCAATACATTCGAATGATTTATTAGTTAGCGTTGACACTTTGACTTTTTTATGAATTTTTGTTTGAATCCTGGCGCCAGCCCTTTTATATGAATTTTTGTTCAAATCCCACCCGCCAGCATTTTTTGTTTTAAGAATTCATTTTGTTTGTTCAAAAAAGCCCAAAGGAATCGAACTTGGAACCTCCATTGAGGCCGTCTTTTTATTAATGACCCAATAACCAATATGCCATCTTCTATTTAGCTTTTCATCTTCTGTTTAGATAAAATAAGGGCCTACATTATATATAACATAATGCTTTCTTCATTTTTTTTTTTTTAAAAATTGGTCAAATCGATTTTTTTAACACTATTTTAATATTCTTTATTTTACTCACTGTTATATTTTTCTATCTTTTTCAGAAAATTTTCAACTTCACTTGAGTGTATTTTATTGTAATCAAAATTTTTATATGTTTTTCATATTTTTAGTATTTGTTTTTGTATCTTTTAATTTTTTTCAACACTTTTTTGATCGTTTGGAATTTGCTTGGCTAGAACGGTTGCATCGGCCGGTTTATCGGTTAAGCCGATTAAATCGCTTCCATACCAATTTTTCAGTTAATCATTTCGGTTTGATTTTGCGAATACTGCATGCACGTTCTCAAAGCTCCAGTAGGAGCACACTTTCTAGTGTAAAAAATATTTCCTATTAAAAGGCTTTTAAATGGTGCATATTTGGTTAGTTTCCCAACTATATATACATAACACTACTCCCGTAAATACCCCTGGATGAGTTTATGACTTTCTCCTCCCTTGCGGCTGAAACAGAGGCTTTGTTGGTCTTTGACTTAGGGTATTTCTTGTCCTCTCTCTCTCTCTCCCTCCATGTTCTGATTCTCTGCAAATCGATTACTCTGCAAATCAATTAGTAAAAGTTTCATCTTTCTCTCTAGTTTGTTGGGTAAGTTTCTCTCTCTCTCTCTCTAATCAGTCGTAATCTGTTATCTTCGTATTCTTGATTGAAACTGTGAGAAATTTGTTTTCTAGTGCTGTTATATTTGCTTGGTATCGTCTTCACCCTAATTTTATGTCGTTTTTTTATTGTCTTCGCTATGCAATTGTAATACATATGATTTTTGACATGAAAAAAAACGAAAAGAAAAGAAAATCTAATGACTCCTTTGGGTTGTTGATATGTGAGATGATCATTTCAATTGGCTACTATATTGGCTTTTCAATTTGATCACGACCCCCCATTTACTCTTCGGTATATGAAATTTTTTATTGCCTCTTGTCTATGCAGTTCTAATGCATTAATTTGAGTATGAGAAGTGAGCCCACCTCTATGAGTTCCATGTGCGCGCCTCCAACAATGCTCTCAATTGAGGATGCCACCCACATTGTGCTCAGCAGAGCCCAGGGCTTGGAACCCATCACAGTGCCATTGCCAGAAGCACTTGGATTGATTTTGGCAGAAGATATTAAGGCTCCTGACCCATTGCCTCCATTTCGTGCATCTATCAAAGTAACCTCTTTCTTCTTTTAGCTCTTCTCTATGTTAACCACTTTTTGTTAGAGAAATCCTTATTGTTCGAGAAATGTTTGTTGCTTGAGAAATGTTTATTGCTTGAGAAATGTTTATTGCTTGAGTTTTACATGTATCATCGTCATCATTTTAGCCTTTTTCCAATTAATTGGGGTCGGCTAAATCCTGGTTCTCCTGCTCACCATATCCTCAATGAAGCCATAAGTCCCATTTTTTTGCGGATTACTTCTAACCACGTCCTTTTGGGACTGTCTCTTACGTCCTTTTGGGTCTATCTCTTGCCTTTTTCAGTTCTTCCACTTGAATTTTCCATGTATAAGTAGACTTTTTTTTTTAATAAAGAAAGTGTGACTTTGTATAAGTAAGAACAAGGAATTACATCGCCACGTATCACAACTAAACATAGCAATATATGTTTAGAATGAACCCAAAGAATCATTTATAAACGTCCTGTTCAGGACTGAGGCTTGATGACAACATAACTATTGGCACTAGCACCTTCCTTTGTAGAGGAAACTGCAATTGCGTTTGTCCTGTGAAACAAATGATTGAAGGAGTTGCTAGAAATCTCTAAAATTGTCAAAACAGTTGCTGAATCTGCCAGGGATAGGGGCACTTCCTTACGCCCATCTAATAACATCCTTGATCCCCTTCCACCTGAACTGTGGTCAAACAATTTAAGGCCCTCCGATAGTGCCATTGCTTCTGTGCTCCTTTAAGGCCCACCTATTTGGAACCCCTTCAACCTCAGCTGCAATCGAACAATTTAAGGCCCTTCTACAATGCCACTGCTTGAGCTGCAGTGGAGCTAGTCGTGCCAATGGGACTCAAATAGGACATTACAAAATTGGGGTACATTGGTTCTAGAGATCCATTGAACCCCTGCCATTCCCAGGTTTCAAGAGAGCAACCGTCTAAGTTTAGTTTGATGACACCGGAGGTGAAAGCGATCTCATATTCAATCTTGAAGTATCTGCTTGTCATGCATCTTGGATGAGGCCTTGGTGCAAATCTATCAAGGACTAGCCAAATAAATCCTCATGGTTTCTGCCAAATAAGCCCTTAATCTTGTCCGTTAGAGTCCCAATTACCTTTCTTTGCTTTCAAAGATACAATACCTGTAGTCTAGCTGTAGTGACCCAATAGTGTCCAACATGGTAGCTCACCAAAGGAACTATTCGGCGACATGGTATGGTGGAGAGACATAGCATGAGAATTCTTGTTGAGCATTTTGGGTGACATGCAAACCCATTCAGAAGGGTCTGCCCATTAGAAAAGTGCAATCCTTGGCACCAATTGCGCAATGAGTAAATAAATGGTTAGTATTTTCCTCATGTTCACTCATAACCAGTGTTCAAGATCTTGCCCATCCCAACTTGGACTTGGCAGCCTGCCGAGGCCAAAAGGCCCCAACTTGTTGGGACAATATTGTACTAACATCCACCCAATTATTGGAGTGGCGAGCTTTTCAGAGACACAATGAGTTCATAGCTCTCAAACTTCACCCCTAGGTGTACTTTTTGATCCTTTCTTGATTACAAACATCACGTTTGACGAAAAATAAAAATTAAAAGTATCAGATTTGTGAGATTTTTTTTCAAGCTAGGGTTGTTTTCTTACTATATTTTCAACACAAGTCTTGTTTGCCTTGAAAATTCTTCCATAAGCTTATCTGTTGCTTAAATAAAATCCAAGGGTTAGTTTTCAGAAAAAACACTTAATCTTGGATTTGTGACGTTTTTTGGATGTCGAAATACAATTTGGCCGAAAACTTCAAGAGCCTAGAGCAACTAAGATTTGGAGTCTAAACCGAAGTCTAGTTTAGGGCTTTTCATTTTGGATATTGGAGGACCTTTTCACGAAGATCAGAGGCATCGATTCACAATGGGTAAAAAAATTGGAGGATTGGATTTGAAATGTTGTTAAGCAAAAATGGGTTTTATTTTTTCATTTTAAATTCATTTAAACGAAAATTTATTTGACAAATATTATCAAATGTAGTTATGTCTTAGTTAATATTATATATATTTTTTCTTTTTGCATTCTTAAAAAAAAAATTTTAGAAAGATTTTTTTTTTCATTTTCATTTTAGAACAAATTTTTTCGTTTTCATGCGCATAGAAATAATCTAAATGCCTATATACAAAATGAAATTTGTTTCATGTAGAATCATTGTTTCTTACATTTTAATTTTCAAATATTTTCATTTATGTATTGGTGTTTTTTATTTTTATTAAAAAAATTATTTGAATTTTTCCCTTTTTTGGGGATCATTTGTGGTCAATTTAGGGAACTCTGTCAAGATTCAGCTAGGCCACTCAAGATTCTATTAGCCTCGGGCAACCCCTTTCTCCTGTAGCGAGTTTGGGTTTAGAACATTAGGCTTAACACATAGGTTGAGATTCCCCTTATTTCAATATGGGCTATGGTAAAGCTTGAATCTTTTGTGGGATAGGCATGTTAGCCTTTTATGCTGTGATTGACACATTTTTTATGGGGCTCTCAACCTTTGCCTTTGCCCTCCTTGCCCTTTCTCAAGGCACAAGTTCTCTCAACTCCTTCATGATATCCTCACAAAGGATAGCCTCCTGTTTTCTTGAAAGTCACCAAAATGTTGGCAATACTAGCCTTATATTGTGGATTTAAGAAGTTCACACCTTTTACAAAACCAAAAAGCAGCTTTGATCCATGAAGGTTGGTCATTTCTGGGGGATAAGCCTAGCTCCTTGTCCTCGAGTCACATCATCTGAAACATAGTTTCAAAAAGCATTTCGCTTAGTGCCTAGGCGGGCTAGGGGGGACCTGGGCGGACCAACTAGGCGAGCTATCCCTAGATGTCGGCCTAAGGACCCCAGGCACCCACCCAAGACCTAGTGTAGGCATTGGCGGCCTAGACCCCCCCCCCCCCTCGCCCCTACTTGACCACCTAGGGGCTGCACGACATTTTTTGAAACACCAATCTCAAATCTAAGAGGTTTTTGAAATTGTGTAGGGCAATATTCAATCGAATGGGGGTATGATATGAGGTAAGTTTTAAACGAGATCTACAGTGAACACTTGAGAACTTCTCTTCCCATTTTGGCCATATTAGGAATTGGTGTAGTTTTAGCCAGGTAGGGATTTCCACATGATTTGACCAGGTGAAGGATGCACCATTGAGTGTAGGTCAAGTCATCAAGAAGGTTGCTTCTAAATGCAAAAATCTTAAATGCTAACATTCTAGTTGTAATTAGTGACGTGAAGATCTCAATTGGGATACCATAGCCCTGGAGAGACGGAAGCTACAACATTTATCTCTGCTTAAAACTTGTCCCTCAGATTGTGACTATTAGTTTTGTGTACCATTTTGAACTCAAATTGTGACTTATGTCCGTGTACCATTGTGAAATTCTATCAAAAGTTTCTAATGGACCAAAGAACATCGACACCAAAAAGTAGATTGAAAATTTCGCAAGGCACAAGGGGTTCCTTAAGACCCAAATCCCGCCTGAGGCTCTAGCAGCATGAAGACCTTCCCATTGCCAGGGTCTTCTACGGTTCTACCCCAACCTTGTTGGAGTATATTGTCAAGGGTGCCTAACTTAGAATCTAAGAGCACAAGGATCTCGAGATAGAGCTTGCATGAAGACTCTAGCACAGTGTTTTAAAATACGGGATGCGGCCCTGATGCGGTGGGGGGCCGATGCGGCGATGCGGCCTGGATGCGGGTGCATCGCGATGATGCAGTCAATAAATGTAAAAAAATTCTAAAAAATCTAAAAAAATAAGTTAATGCATAGAAAAAAATATGAAGGTGATATATGTGATAGTAGGTATTTTAGTTTAATGATTAACTTCAAAATTATTAGCTGTCGGAGATTATGTATCCAGTTATCCACTATCCCCTGATAGAAACTAGAAACTTGAAACCAGCTTCATAAAGCATTCAACAATCAATAACCATCAGCACAAATTTGCACCATAAGCACAACTATAATTAAGCAAAACCATCAACAACCACAAGTACAACCATAAGCACAAAATAATGATATTACAAAATAACAAATACAAAATTACAAGACTCAAGAAGAAGTTAATAAGTTAATAAAT